ATAATTATGATTAAGAGATGTTTTTTTTTTATGCAAGCATTTATGGAATTTTCAACAAATGTTTCAAGCTTCGCAGACGTGCCCAAATCATCTGACGCAACTTTTCGAGGGGTCGTAAACATACAATCATTAATTCCGCTGAATTGGGAAAATCTACCCGTTCTAGCTTTACGACTATCTCCGAAATGAATGTCGTAACTAGATAACACGCAAAACTTTAAATTAGCAACTAACATTACACTTCCGGGAATGAATAATGTGAAGTAAATTATATTTTTAGTTTTCAACGTAAACCTCGCCCATCAGAAATGTTTATTTATTTATATCAATAAACTTAATGTCTAAAAAGCGAATTTGACGCTACAAGGCGTTCTCTCCTTGTGACCTCCAGAATAATTTTTACCACGTAAAAAATATTTTTTACGTGGATGAGCCATGCTACAGCTATGTTAGTAGTATAGTTGAAGCACGGATGGGTCAGCTCGACCGGGGAAGGGCAACCCATTTTACTGGAAACAAGGCATTCCATCTTAGTACTCACGGGTGACAACGTCATTTTCATTCGTATTCGAGGATAGATGTAGATGTCTGTGGGCTACCATCAGGTATACTTACTGTGTGCTCGTTTGTCACCATTATCCTAAAAAAAACAGCAGGAAAAGGAAAAAGGAAAGTTTATTATAAACAGATTTTTGACCGTAAATATAATATTTGGTTTGATTTATTTACTAACATCCGATTTGCGTAACATCGGGACATAAAAAGCGCGATAAAATCCATAAAATCCTTTTAATCTGTCTCAAGTGTTCGGCATACACTGGAGCAACGCGGCCGACTAATTGATCCGTAACAATTTCAGAAATTAGAGGAATTATATGTCCAACAGTAGAACGTATATAGTCTATAAATTTCCTTTAACTTGTGTGGTTTGCAAGATGTTGTGACCGGTGGTATGGACACAGAATGAATGCTGCAGAAGTGAAAGGCAGAGCCGGCAAGGGACACCCTAGACCAAAAAGTAATCGACTAAATTGACGATATAATAAAGATGTGCCAAATTAAGTGTACACATAACCGCCTGTAATGTATGCAGATATATGGATGTGAAAGAAGCGAAAGAGGTGTCTAAGAATCGTGCCAAATCATTTTACGCGGACCTTATATAAACAATTTTAACGTCTTTAATTTAAAGTAAATTACATTACATCAAGCCTACCCTACACTATATATATATGAATAATTTAAGCAGCTTAGTGTGTATCAATGTCTAGAAACATAACGAACATTCTCAACAATCTAGATTAGATTTCCACGCAACAAACAGATTATGCTAACACTACTGGGTTGTTGGCTGAAACTCTCACGTTCCAGTTTCCCGCCGACTTAATATATAACATTGGCTTTGCATTCCCACTGCAGATTTAATGCATTTCTCACGACGTATCGATACACTAATGGACACTGTGCAAGTGCGACAATTTATGTTAAAAGTTAATAATGTTTTACAAAAGCAGTTCATTATAACTACTGAATCTGAATGACAGGGTGAGAAATAGTGTGATAAGAAAAAAAGTGTGGTTTGCTAGATGATGTTGAGGTTTGGTCATGTAAAAATAATGAACGAGAAAAGAGAAAAGATAGACGAAAGTTTAACGATCAAATTGGCGATATATTGAAGATGGGCCAGATTAAGAGTACCCTTAACCGACGAGCATGTAAGTGTAGGTACATGGATATAAAGGAGGCGAGAGAGGTGTGTCAGGATAGTGCCAAATGGAAGTCCGTAGTCTCTGCCAACCCCTCTGGGTGACTAGCGTGAGTGTTTATGTTATTCTATGCTTATGCCTGATTACATCTACCCAGTAGAGTGGCGAGACAGTGCCTTCAGCCGAGCGCTCGGTATTTGTAAACATAGCCGAGTGCTCGGCCGAGCGCTCGATCATCACTGTTTCGAACCCAGAAGGATTTTACTGTCTCGCCACTCTACTCGGTAGGTGTAATCAGGCTATTATGCTAAAACTACTGTTATATTCATTGTGTGTTGCTGTTCATTATAACGACGATTATACGATAACTGTGTGGGACAGCCAAAATAAACCACAAGTGCCACTCTGCGTGTTGTAGAGACCACCATACAGCTTCCCATCTCCAGTAGACGTACGTAGAAGTACTTCGGGAGGAAGCATCCTGTATTTCGCGGAAGAGCGAAGCCGATGCCGCATAGAGGATCCGGTCTCTACATTTGCAGCGTCTGGAGTCTAATAGGTCAATGAACTTTAAGTCCTACGAACTCCAGGTTCCTGCAAAATACAAAGACATTCCTTGCTCCCGATTTCTGGGCCCTCTGCGATATTGCCTACTACTGCGCGATACAAGGGCGCGCCAAAGAAGAAAAATCCCTAAATAGTGTTATGTTTATCTATAATATAAAAATGATTCTCTGAATGTGTTGCTAAGCGCAAATCTCGAGAGCAGCTGAACCGATTTCGCTAATTCTTTTTTTATAATATTCCTTGAAGTACGAAGATGGTTCTTAAGGAGAGAAAAATTTAAAAAAATACCTGAAAAAGTCTAAAAACAACACTTTTCTATATTCCCATACAAAATATTCCTAATAATACTTCAAAGTCAATTTGAACTTTAATACCATACCATAAAGTTTAAGTCTTAGTGGAGGCGTTCCGGGAAGGCAAAACAATTGAGTGACGTTAGTATCTTATAAATATTAATGTCAATATTTATAAAATGGTAACATTACTCAAAAACAAAATTAGGGTTCCGCGCAATAAAATTGATATCCATGAAATCGTAGTAAATTCCATGCGGGCGAAGTCGCGGGGCACAGCTAGTGTATGATATATTATGTTACTATGGGCTAATTTTCTAAATTTTTAAGTTCTTGATGCGTGAAATATGATTATTGTATTTTATAACATTTTCATTTAAATCATTTCATCTACCTTCTCCATAGATTGCCGCATATGCCACGAGGAAAATGCTGCTGTCCGTCTCCTGTTTCAGTTCTGTCTGCCGCCTGTAACGACACCCTCGCGATGATACTGGGTAGTGGATTCTCTTACGGCGCCAATACATGGCGAATATTACTTAAACATAACATACTCAAAAGCCCATGTGCTAGATCTTAATTAATAAATTTAAAATTCTTGCTTATGTATGACTTCTTTTATAACAAGTTTTTACCATAGTACGGAGCGTTGACCACTCCCCGGGCTAAGTTTGCCTAACGGCAAACCATCCCCTTTTCATATTTTTCATAGTATACGGGCGACAAATAAATGTGAAAACAAAATTATTAAATAAATAGACAAGCAAACACATAGACCACCTGATGGTAAGTGGATACTGCGGCCTATACACATCTTCATCTATCCTCGATAAAGAATCAAAATGCAGATGGAGACTACATACAATTAATATGGAGTACCTCGTACCAGTAAATTGTGTCTTGTCTGACCGGTTCCTTTTACTCCGCATACGAAACACACAATTATTCTATTTTTTCATGTTGGTATTCTGTGGGAGCGTGGAATTCCATACGCTGATGGTAATAGACATTCATCCTATATTACAATTCAAAATGCTGATGCGTTATCACCCGTAACGATTACGATACCAGTAAAGAAGGTATTTTCTGTCCGGTATTTTGTGAGAGAGTGGTCCTAGGCCGGTCGAGCCGACCCATCCGTGCTGCAGACATTTTAAAGCTGCAGCGTGGCACGTAAAAAATCATTAGGACCAAACTCTAGGATAATCTTCCCGTGAACTATCGACAAGGAAATATAGTGGCATTCGATAAATAGGCTATATAAACATCGAGTTATAATAATAATAGAGTTGTAACCGACACTTATGTGCACAGTCAAGAAAAGAAATGTCGCCTATGGTTTACTTAACCCTAGTCGTAACTTAACAGGCGTGACCTGGAGAAGGTCACTCATTACTTTTATGCGGCGCAGCTATGACATAGCGTATTATGGACTAAAGCACAAATGGGTCTTTTCTACCGGGGAACGACCACGCTGTTACAGAATACCCGCATCAAATAGCAGTTGAATGCTGCTGTGTTTCGTATGGCGGGGGACGACGGGAAAGAGGAATTTCATATTAGTTCTTAAGGGTAGCAAAGTAACTACGAGTGATGGGGGCAGCAAATACTACCCTGAGGCGTGCTAATAATCGATCTAAACGATGAAAGGGGCATCGGTTGTGGTCCGAACGGAGATTCAGAGACCCCTAGTGACGATGGTGACCACCGAATGTTTTAGCCGGTAGAAGTCCAGCATAAACCTTTCTTTGTCTGCGTAATCATCGGAAGGAATGAGGATTTCCCCACGATAAAAAAGGCCTCAAGGGTGATAAGGCATCTGTATTTTGATTTCTCATCGAGGAGGTGGTGTCTTTTAATTACCCTCACTTGTATGAACAAAATTAAAAATGATGAACGTAGATCCAAAACATCTTCCAAGGGATGCCACAAAAACATGGTCCTCAGCCACTTGCACCCATCAACTTTCTGCCTATCTTAACAGGTCGTCACTCAATCTAGTGGGACGCCGCCCTACACATCGCTTACTGGTACGAAACTTACACTCGAGAACCTTCTTCTCCCATTAACGAAATTCTTCCATGTAAGGACGGTGTAAGAATATTCACTACCCTATATCATCCCAAGTGTCATGGAGAGACCACTAAAAAAACTAAATCATGAGATGGGCGGCAGCATCTTTTTAATAACAACTAAATAATAACAAAAGTGCGGTTGCCTACCAGTTTGTATTTACAATTTAACAATAACAGAAGTTTTGTTTTGTTTTAGTTAGAATAGCGATTCATTTAATAGAAATAACTTCCACAATTTAGCAGCTACGTTATAAGATGTCAAGGAAATTTAATAGAACTATCTTGCTACGAAGAAGTTGTTTCTAATGAAATTCCTTGTCGATCTTCATTTGACGTTTCGCTTCAGTTAGTAGCGACGCATGTTTTCTAATGGAGATTGTTATAGAACTTTTAGATTTAACATCATTAATAAAAAAGCAACATACCTACGTTTAGAACTTAAAGTACAGTGAGTTAATATATGTAGCACAAAAAAATGATGTAAGAAAATGTTTATCTTTCGTTTCAGTTTCTTTCTTAAGTTATTCATTATTTCATTACAGCCCTTTACAAATCGACTGCTGAACATAGGCTTCCCCCAAGGAATGCCACAAGCACGGTCCTGAGCCACCTGCATCCATCGACTTCCAGCACGTCTTACCAGGTCGTCACTCCATATAGCGCGAGGTCGCCCTACACTTCGCCTACCGGTACGAGGTTGCCACTCAAGAACCTTTCTTCCCCATCGGTTGTCGGTTCTTCAAACTGTATGGCCGGCACATTGCCACTTCAGCTGACTCATCCATTATGCTATGTCGGTTACTCTGGAACTACTGCGAATATCTTAATATTCAAGTCTATCACGCACGCAGAGAAACCTCGAGCATAGCCCTCTCATAGCTCGCTGAGCGACCTTGAGTTGTCTTATACAGCCAGCAATGAAGGATCACGTCTCAAATCCATAAGTCGTCACTGGGAGTGGTTGTACAATCTTGTTTTCAGGACAGTTATTCGGTTTTCCTTTTTTTAAGTTATATTGGCTAGTGCAGTCCGTGGACACCTGTAGCCAACTTCGACAAAGAAGGCTACAGCTGCGTTAAGGAAACGCCCCACATCTTCTAATTATACTGGCTCTCTATTATGACTCCTAGGCAAAAGTTGAAGAGTCCTACTACCTACTAAATTAAATAAATCTTGTAAAATTTAAAAAATATATAACAAATAGAAAACAATAGATGCCAAAATATAAGTACCTATATCTATATAAAGCTCGTCCTAGCAGCTATATATAAATATATACTCGTAGGTACTTCCTTTAAATATATTACTTTTTATTCCTTATAGGATATGCTATAATTTGTTCATACATCGCTTTACGTGCTTACTTTTACCAGAATAATTCATATTTAAAATCACTTTACATTGCATAAAAGTTATTAATAATTCCACCAATTAATTAATTAACTGTTAGTGGGAGGTATAAACTGAACACAAACCCTTCACTCTTTTGTTCTTTCGCCTGTAATCACGTCCATAATGTAATATGTTTCAATATTCTCATATATTATACCTATAAGGAAGCCTGATAAGCTGAGTGTAGTGGACCACTAAACGGTGTAACCTGGTAATACATGAAGGACGTCGTACAAGGGGCTCAGGAACGTTTTGTGAAAGAAAAGATAAGGTCTATGTTGGCAACAGTGAACTTGTTATGGCCTGTAAAATTTTTGTTTTTATTTTAAAAATAAAGTTTAACTCCACATTAGGAATTCCTACTATGTCGTGGAGTTTTATATAAATTAACTACACAAGGACAAACATACAGATCTGTAACAATTATTTGTGGGCCTTGCAAATATGTACTTGTTCCGTGCGGGATTCCGAACCCGTGACCCGCAGTGCAGCTAAAACTCCTAGAAACTACACTACCTAGCCGCTATGATGAAGACGATGATGATAATGTACATCTTTTTTAACTTTTTAACTTTCTCATGCCATATTCAATGCAATAAGAATATAAAAGATATTGAGTAATCTATTTAAACAAAGATGAAAACCTAAACAATTAAGCATTTCAAGAGGCAAAAAGTCTCTTGGATAAAAAGCATTCACCAAATATTTGAAGCACGAAAACTGTCACCCAACCCTCAAATCAGACTGGAATTAAGAAACCCTAACCTAAAATTGTAGAAATAATTTATGCACTCCAGAACTCAGCATTATTTCGTGACCTAGTCTTCCGTGCGGGCCAACGAAATTGCATCTGAATAGTGCATCGAAGTTTCAAACTATAAATTACCCGAAAAGTTTATGAAAAAAACATTCCTGTTCCGTACCTACAATGCAGGACTGGGTGTGTTCAGCGGAGATTCCGTTTGGTGCGAGATTTAGAATTAACTAGAAATAAAGCGGATAGAGCAAAAAAAAATGGAGGGATAACAAGTATTGTGTAGAAACCTCGTTAAGAAACTAGATCTTAGTATTATACAATATATGCAATTATGCAATAGTTGGATGTTAAAAGCTTAAATTCCATAAAAAAAACATGTTAGTACTTAGGGGTGACCACGCATCTGCATTTTAATTCTTAATCGAGGATAAATGTAGGTGTCTATGGGCCACCGCATCCACTTACCATCAGGTGGACTGTGTGGTCTTTAGTCACCATAATTCTAATAAAAAAATGCGTGAGGGTCGTGGAACAAGCGGTTGGAACGAAGTTCCTTGCGTAGTATATTATTATTGATAAACGTAGGTATTATATTATTGATTAACAAATACAAATAAATGAATTACTAGCGTCTATTAAAATGAAGCGTCATTTGAAATAAAATAATATTTCTTTCATGGCATGATAAAAAAAGTGCGAGGGAGATGGATATTATTCCATCTCACTTTCCTATATCAACGCCAAGGTCGTCTACACTATGACACAAGGGGTAGTGACGAAAAAATCTTACACTTTTTGTCGCCTAGCTCCCACCTACCAAACCCGTACCTTCCGATAAGGAACTTCGTTCCAAAAATCTAATACTCATTTAACTCACTAAGAAACAGAACTTGTCGGGTGGTGGCAAAGTAAGAGAATTCATCATCCCATTTCATCTAGTCGGTGTCGTATGAGGCAACTATGGGGAATGCTGGAAAGATCTCATACACCAGATCCTAGAGTATAAAAAATCAGAAGAAAAATCGTTGGAAGATAATAAAAGATAAAAAAGGTTAAAAATTCTTCACCTTCATCACCTCGTAACATGAGTCCCACAGGAGAAAATAGGAGTCATGGATTGGTGAAGGCTGCCGCACAAGGTAAATATTAGAAAAAAATATTACTGCAGAATAATAATGTCCTCCAGACCGAATTTCGGTCACGGCGGCCAGCCTCAGCGGAGACTAGCCATCGGCACTGGACAGGATAATAATGCCCGAGTGTATGCGCAAGCACAGGTGCACTTCTATTCCCTCACTCTCCGATGGGACGGTAAACTGCCACGACCAGAAAGACAGGCATGGGATAAACGACTTTATGTGGCACGGGAGTGAGACACCGCCAACTTTCCGACTCCGGGCAACTACTGAGAATTTCTTGACAGAATAACTCTATAACTGATTTTTTTTGGGCCCGACTCGGGCATCGAACCCGAGACCTCATGATCGGCAGCCGCGTTTACAACCACTAGAACAACGAGGTAGTCAACTGCAGAATATTGTTCATACAAATATATACAAAAGACCGCAGGCAAGTTAGCGCAGCAGGCCTGCTTAATAAGTTACATTAAGGTCGAAGTAACTGTAACAAAGCACATAATTTAACTTCAGGCAATTAAATAAAGAGATACTTTCCATGTGTCCGAGGCTCCATATGCTTGGCCGCATGCGGAAGTGTATTACCGTCATTGTTTACACTTTATACCCAAATAAAGCAGGTCTGTTAAGCTGGAATGGTCATTTGGGCAAAATCACTTAAATTTTAGCTAAATATTTAGTGCTCATTTAGTGCTAATTTAGTGCTGCAAATTTAAAATTCACGCCAAAATAGCTTGATCAAAAATTAGAAAACTGCTAGCTTTTAATTAAGCTAGCAGTGTTCTACCTACTAAAACGATAATCGCTTAATACAGCACCAAATAGAAGCATCAATAATTTAGTGCTCATTTAGTGCTGCCGATATACGCAAAAACAAATATTGGGAAAATATATATTTTCTAATATCATAAATTCTGCTACTTTCACACCTTTAGCAGAGTATGTAATGAAAAAATTTACATCAGAGTGGACTATCATCTAATGATATAAGATAATAAATTAGTGCTCATTTAGTGCTGTCGATATACGAAAACGGATTTGAGAAATTATTATTTTTAAGTACCGTCAACTGCTACTTTGACATCTTTAGCAGAGTATGTGATGAAAAATTAACATCCAAGTGAATTATCACATAATGATATAAGATAATAAATTAGTGCTCATTTAGTGCTGTCGATATATGAAAAAGGATTTGAGAAATTATTATTTTTAAGTACCGTCAACTGCTACTTTGACATCTTTAGCAGAGTATGTGATGAAACATTGACATCCAAGTGAATTATCACATAATGATATAAGATAATAAATTAGTGCTCATTTAGTGCTGTCGATATATGAAAAAGGATTTGAGAAATTATTATTTTTAAGTACCGTCAACTGCTACTTTGACATCTTTAGCAGAGTATGTGATGAAACATTGACATCCAAGTGAATTATCACATAATGATATAAGATAATAAATTAGTGCTCATTTAGTGCTGTCGATATATGAAAAAGGATTTGAGAAATTATTATTTTTAAGTACCGTCAACTGCTACTTTGACATCTTTAGCAGAGTATGTAATGAAAAAAATTAACATCAGAGTGGGCTATCACCTAATGATATAAGGTAATAAATTAGTGCTCATTTAGTGCTGTCGATATATGAAAAAGGATTTGAGAAATTATGATTTTTAAGTACCGTCAACTGCTACTTTGACATCTTTAGCAGAGTATGTGATGAAACATTGACATCCAAGTGAATTATCACATAATGATATAAGATAATAAATTAGTGCTCATTTAGTGCTGTCGATATATGAAAAAAGATTTGAGAAATTATTATTTTTAAGTACCGTCAACTGCTACTTTGACATCTTTAGCAGAGTATGTGATGATACATTGACATCCAAGTGAATTATCACATAATGATATAAGATAATAAATTAGTGCTCATTTAGTGCTGTCGATATATGAAAAAGGATTTGAGAAATTTTATTTATAAGTACCGTCAACTGCTACTTTGACATCTTTAGCAGAATATGTGATGATACATTGACATCCAAGTGAGTTATCACATAATGATATAAGATAGCTGAGTTTATGATATTAAAAAAATACATTTTTCCAATTTTTGTATTTGAGTATATCGGCAGCACTAAATGAGCACTAAGTTATTATCTTATATCATTAGGTGATAATTCACTTGAACCTCAATGTATCATCACATACTCTGCTAAAGATGTCAAAGTAGCAGTTTACGGTACTTAAAAATAATAATTTCTCAAGGCCTTTTCCATATATCGACAGCACTAAATGAGCACTAATTTATTATCTTATATCATTAAGTGATAATTCACGTCGATGACAATTTTTACAGTACATTCTCTTCTAAAGATGTAAAGGTAGCAGGTTACGGTACTTAAAAAAAAATTATCAAATTCTTTTTCGTATATCGACAGCACTAAATGAGCACTAATTGATTATCTCATATCATTAGGTGATAATTCACTTGGATGTCAATGTTTCATCACATACTCTGCTAAAGATGTCAAAGTAGCAGTTGACGGTACTTAAAAATAATAATTTCTCAAATCCGTTTTCGTATATCGAGAGCACTAAATGAGCACTAATTTATTACCTTATATCATTAGGTGATAGCCCACTCTGATGTAAATTTTTTTCATTACATACTCTGCTAAAGATGTCAAAGTAGCAGAACTCATGATATTAAAAAAATAATATTTTGCCAATATTTGTTTTTGCGTATACCGGCAGCACTAAATGAGCACTAAATTATTGATGCTTCTATTTGGTGCTGTATTAAGCGGTTATCGTTTTAGTAGGTAGAACACTGCTAGCTTAATTAAAAGCTAGCAGTTTTCTAATTTTTGATCAAGCTATTTTGGCGTGAAATTTAAATTTGCAGAACTAAATTAGCACTAAATGAGCACTAAATATTTAGCAAAAATTTAAGTGATTTTGCCCAAATGACCATTCCAGCTTAACAGACCTAAATAAAGCGACAAAGAAACGCGGCTCGCGACTAAGATACACCCCCAGCGGTAGCCGAGCTTCATTCAACTTATAATTACTAAATTTATATATATACACCAAAAATAAATCTAATCTAATAGAAAGCTCATTTTGGAGTAGATGTATTACTATAACAATATTCCCCGTAATATTACCGGGGTGTCTTTGCACAAATTCAAGGCACATGTAAAAGTATTGAGAATATGAGATAATAAATATAGAATATAATGAGATTTCTTAGATTTCTTCATTTGTGGATCATGTTTATTTTACATAAGAAAAAATTATGTACACACTTACGAAGTGAAACTTCTTTACGACATACATTTCATTCTTCTTTTATTTTATATTTTACGTAAGTTCGGTTAAATAATAGTATACTCATGCAGCCCCGGCGGTGAAACGTTACAAGAAAACGTGACGTTTTTTTTTAAATACCGTACAAAATTTCTTCAATGCGTCAATAAAGAAGTTTTACTTCAACAAACACAGGTATAACGTTACCGATACAGTCATTCTATTAAAATCCACTGCTGAACATAGGCCTCCCCCATAGATTGCCTCAGAGGGGGGATATATGTCTTCAAACAAACACGCGTATTAGAAATAACAAAAAATACAAAGTTTATACCTGTAATACTACACCTATAAATCTTATAAAATATTATCATGGCGTCTAAAACGTATTAGGATTTTTTTTATATAGAATAAGGGTGACAAACGAGCACACAGTCCACCTGATGGTAAGTGGATCCAGTGGCCTATAGACATTTTATGCTGGTATTCTGTAAGAGCGAGGTCCCACCCCGGTCTAGCCGAGCCATTCGTGCTACAACCATAATATAGTTGCAGCATGGCTCTTCCACGTAAAAAAATAAAACATTTTACGATAAAAAAAATAAATCAATAGCTTTTCATAGAAACTGTAAATTAATTTTGTAACTTTTTACATTCAATTCTCTTTGTCAAAGCCTTTTGGCAGATCAGCAAAGAACTGTGAACGATCGGATCTACTTTATTAAAACAAATTAACAAGGACACTTTTAAAAGACAAAACTTAGTATTATTTTATTAAATGTTTGTGAAATTTTTGCAAATTTATAACTTGAAGTAATTAACGTTCAGTTTAATTTTAAATTGAATTTCTGCAACATATCTCTTATTTCATAAACATTAAAGTACCTATTATTAGAAACTGAAAGCTTTACATTACAAAAAAATCTTCATCACTATCATCATCACTATAAACCCCAATTGCAGGACAATGACTGTACAACAAAAGCACGCACCTTGCGCTGTGCCGGCACTCTCGTACTTAGACTTGAGCTTGGCGGCGGTCGCGCGGGCGTCAGACCTCACGGAGTCAGTCGTGCTTGAGCTCCTGAACGAGAGAGTTGTGGAGAAAGTGGACGAGAAGGAGGAGCCCAAGCCCAGGCCGAGGGTGGCGCGGTAACGACGACGGTACATTGCGGCACGTGTTAACGCAACGGCGTTTCGGGAAAGACTGATCTAAGAGAGCGCCGGCGCAGGCAACCCGGAAAAGCTCTGAAGATTTATTACGGGTGCGAAGCTAGACTGACGCACGGCGTTTGGGCTATCGGAAACTATTAATCTGGGATAAAAACTCCAAACAACTAAATAGAAAGAAAATAAAAATAACAGTAAAATGTATCCGATAATCAAGAAAAGTTTTCATGGAAATATTCCACTTTAAGGGTAAGAAGTAGTGAAAGCTTTCGAAAACTGCTGCTGTTAAATACTGTATGTGTGTTTTTATTAAAAGGTAAACTCTAATCAACTTTGATCATAATGCCATCAATTATGCTTCTGTGATGTCTCAATGTAAAAAGACGAAGCCTGGCAGTCTTTCAACTTCACATATGTCATATAAAAAGGGTTATTTACTCATTCTTTTTATCGAAAAAACGTTACCGCACACTAGGATTTTCACCTGTATCGTGGAGGCAGTTTACACACACATATGCCATAAAATATTTCTTCAAGATTTTGCAAGGCAGCAAAATCGTCCATTCATTCATATTTCATAATTCAATCATTCATGATAAAAGGTATATAATAATAATAAGTAAACAAAATGTATGTAATATATAAGGATTTAACAGTATACCAACCTAAACATCAGGGTTACGCACTAAAAACATTCGTCGTAATCTTGCCACGTTTCTCAGCTGGCCTATTGATCCACATACCCTGGGTAAGATTTGAAGTAAGCGGGGTAGACAAACATACGTGAATAATCCGCTTTTTGGTCAAGACAAATAATCGTATTGGCAGTCTAAATACCATTGGTCCGACGCTGCATACAATCTAAACCATTTCCACTATCATAAAACTTAACAACTTTACAGTCTGATATAGGTCTCCCTCATAGATTGCCTCTTAGAGGGATATTTGCCATAGTTGCAACGCTTAGCAGGGAGGTTGGCAACCGCAGTTTTTTTCTGCCGACTTCCAAAAAGGAGACGGTACTCAATTCGACTGTATGTTTTTTTTATGTGTGTTACCTCATAACTTTTTAATAGGTGAACCGATTTCGATGATTCTTTTTTTATTTGAAAGCTGGTACTTCTCGTGTGGTCCCATATGAATTTGATCAAGGTCAGGCCAATAGTTTTTGAATTATTCTTAGTAACTTATATCGAAGTTATTATTATTTCAAGTTGTTATCAGGAATTCGTTGCTGCCAATCTTATACAATTAATAGAATCAGGCGTTACTTAGCGGGAATCCATTATAATAAAGGTGTTAAAAATTAATTAGCTATGACTTAGCAGCCAGTCACCGCACTCTTCTTCACCTGAGGATGCCCCGTTTAGAGGCGAGACACGTATCGTATTATCGACAGTGGTGTGTCTTTTCTAGTGTAGTGCTGTTAGGAGTAGTGGTGTTGGGATTAGTGGTGAAGGTGATAGTGCACGCAATTAGGGGAGGGCGGGAGGTGCTCTTCAAACTGAGTAAGAAATATAATTGTTCTACTGACTTCAAAAAGGAGACGGTACTCAATTCGACTTCGATGATTCTTTGTTTATTTGAATGCTGGTGCTTCCCATGTGGTTCCATATAAGTTTTATCAAGGTCTGGCCAATAATTTTTGAGTTATTTTTATAACTTATATTGAAGTCAGTTGTACAAAATTTTTAATTTTAAATTATATTTTATTATGCTGATCTTACCTAATTAATTTTTAACATCTTTAATCGTTTATTTCATTACCCTTTGTCGCGTCTTACAATACATACGAGAAGATAATATGGGTTATCGATTCTCTTAAGTCGCAACATTACAATGCAAATGAGCAAGTAAAGGAGTATAGTGGCATTCTTTTCTCCAAACGTCAAATCCACAGCACACGACGCGTCGTTTATCAACCTGATTACTCCACACCGTGATGAGTATGGCAATCTTTCACTCTGTCGCATTTTTGTAACAAATAAGGAAGAGAAAGGCAAATGAGTATCCTTGAATATTTTTTATAATAAACAAAATTGACAAACGAACACACAGTCCACCTGATGGTAAGTGGATGCTGTGGTCCATAGACATCTACATTTATCCTCGATTAAGGATCAAAATGCAGATGCGTTGTAACCCATGAGAACTACAATGGAATACCTCTTTAACAGTAAATAGGGTGTCCGGTTCTCTACACTCACCATACAAAAGAAAGCAGTACTAAGCTGCTATTTTACGTTGGTATTATTCTTTGCGAGCGTGGTCCTATCGAGCCGACCCATTTGTACTACAACTATAATATAGCTGCAGCGTGGCACTATCACGTAGAGTATACTTATGGATATTTTGCCGTGTAATGGCGGTGTAAGAGATCACCCACCTATTTCGTCCCGTAGCTGTTGCAAGAGGCACAACGGGAGTTGAAAAAGGAGACGAGCAGTAGCGTATTCCTAATAACGATTGTGGCAAATGTCCCCCTTGTAAGGCAATTTATGGGTAGACCAATGTTAAGCAGTATACTATGAGAGGCTTTAATTAATGATTGAAGACGGATTAAAAGTAATGTAGACTGCAAGACCCAAGACTTGTATAATAAAAAGCGAGATACCGCCGTGCTCGAATATGGAGAATGATCCAACGTACGCCTAATCTCAAGCAAAATATTTTTATGATGAAAAAACATTATTCAAGAAAATCAATCGCAAGCTTCCTGAGTTACTCTCTGTGGAAAACATAATAAAAGTTGTTTGAGAAAGACATGAAAAATATTCCGCTGCCATACTATTTTTCAGAATTGGGCAATAAAATATAAAAAGCCAGCACTGGCATTTCGCCAAAAAACAGTTAATAAATAATGGCAACTGACACTTGGAAGTGAGTTTTCGATTTAATTTAATTCAGTGCGTAATTGAACTCTAGCCAGTTTAAATTATCAGAGGCGGATAACGGAGATGAAACGTCTCCAATAATTATCCGAAGAAAAAATTACTTTAGATTATAATGGTTGATGAATATCTTTGTCTTTTAAATTTACAGTTTAATTCATAATCATAACTCACCCTTTAACACTTCAAACTTCTTGTCATTTCATCACTCTACATGTATCACATTCTCATGTCTCAGCAATTTCTTTTAGCCGACTTCGAAAAAGTAGGAGGCTTAATATTCTACTGTATGTTTTTATTGTATGTATAATGCCAAATTTGGCAAAACAGGGGATGACGTTTTTAGTGTAACTATTTAAACGACTTTGGAATTGCGATATTCCTCAATCCACTCAAAAAGGTTAAAAAAAATACTTTTAATAAACAGTAAAAGCAGACTTCAAAGAAGTAAAAATAATTTTAAATTTTGAAGTCGAGGCTTTATTACTTCTATACACTTTGTCTATCTGCAAGTAAAATCGGCGAGTAAAATGGCGTGTAGAATCTAAATTTGAAATTGTACCGTTCACGAAAGGCAAAGCAGACACTGCCTATTATAGTTAAAGCGGTTGCCTGTCTAGGATCAGTCGTCTAAATTTACTGAAGGGTATACAAATTAAAGAGTGACTGCTGAAAGCTAGCGGGAGGGTAGCGTTAAGATAAAATAGCAAGTTTACGCAGACTGGAGAATCAAAGAAATAATACTGAACTAGGTTCCACATTAAATTCATAGATTTGAGTGTCATAATTCATGGTTTAAAACAAACCATAGTTTACATATTACAATTTACAAAAATCACAGTTTATAGTTTACATATGACCCCAGTTTACATATTAAAAGTATTTCTTCTATAGAATACGGGTTATAAACGAGCACACAGTCCACCTGATGGTAAATGCATGCTGTGGCTCATAGACATCTACATTTATCCTCTATTAAGCATCAAAATGTCAGACCCTTGAAGACTAAAATGGAATGGAATGCCTGTATTACAGTAAAAATTGTCTCCGGTAATGTAGAGAAGATTCATCATACGAAACACATTACGCTAGTATTCTGTGAGAGCGTGGTGCTTCAACGAATCATCGAATCGACACATTCGTGTTACAACCACAATACAGCTGCAGCGTGGTTCTAACACGTATAAAAAATATTTCATACTAGCTGCTACCCGGCGCGTTGCAGTCGCAGAAGAAATAATTATGGAAATATGATTTTAAATTTGGAAGGGTTATATTGTTTAATTAGGAATGATAATGATGATGATATATAACTTTTTGTCGGTTTTCGGTACAATACGTGTGTTAACTACTGTAGGTTAATTATACTATGCCTATAACCTTTGCACAAATGTAGTTATACCGCAATCTCATGAACGACATGGCACCGCATAGCATACGAACATACAAACCATTATTTTTTGTATATTAGATAAAGCATTTTTTCTCTTTAAATACTAACATAAAATTATGGTACATAAAAATGTCTCTATGTGAATAGTCTCGTTCCATAATTAAGTTAGCTAACGTATACGTGTGACGTTATTCGGTATAAGCTTGTTACGTTAAGCTTACTGACGTCTGTTCGTAATTAAATGTGACAGTTTAAGACTGGATGATTTAAAAACCATCATCTTTATTACAGCCCATCACAAGTGCACTGCCCACTGCTCATCATATTGAGGTGATCACTACCAAGCTATTTCTAATTCTTGTGATGTTAATTGTGTAACTTTGACGTGGTAGAGCCATGCTGCAGCTATATTAGTGGAATAGTTGTAGCACGAATGGGTCGACTCGACCGGGGAAGGACCACGCTCTCACAGAATACCAGCTTAACACTGCTGTGTTTCGTATGGTGAGTGTAGAGAACCGGAAACCCTTTTTACTGGAACCGAGGTATTCCATCTTAGTCCTCACGGGTGACGACGCATCTGCATTTTGATTTTTAATCGAGGATAGATGTAATGTCTATGGGCTACAGCAACACTTACCATCAGGTGGACTGTATGCTCGTTTGTCACCCTTATCCTATAAAAAAAAACATAATATATGA